AGAAGTTATAAATATTATATACACACAAATCTATGTATGAAGAGATACCACCCCCCCTATAATGTATTTGGCCAAGGTTTGAGAAACACTGGACTAGAAGGTGATCAAGATCCAAAGAGAATTATTGATTAGTTGCCTCTTATTAGTTGCAAAAAATGTCTATTGCTTCTTCATTGAATGTGAGTAGTAACTTACCCATCTTGGCAACTGATCTAATTGACTGAAATTAAAACAAGCCCCCCGAGGGTATCACTGCACTGCATGGATTCCAGCTTGGTGGAATGGAGGCAACACGATGTGGTCTTCCAAAGTTGACTCTCGAGCAGGGATCTAAACTTGCATAGGAACACATGTGGGGCCAAACTGGGCTTTTGCTGGCACTTGGGGCAGGCTGGCTAAGAGGTGTTCAAACTGACCAGGCCCCATGTGGAATGGGTGTAAGACTGGTGAGCTAGCCCACCCTTTTTATTAAAATGATTTATATGAAGGCCTCACTTGAGTAAGGCTTCATCCATATTGCTTAAAGTCAATATGGACGAACCCATTGGGTGATGACCACAGCAAATGGAAGCTTGAGACTTGCAACTTAAGAGGAGCCAAGGGTAAAGAGAATGAGTAGACCCACTGAGTCTGTGTGGAACTAAGGGAAAAAGGAAGGCTGTTACAGATCAGAATGAAGGATATTTGATCCTGTAGCGCAGAGCTGATGAATATATGCAGAGAAGTGGTTTGATTGCAAGCGAAAGGGCTAAAATGTACGCCAGAAAGTATGAATCAGTGACGTCTTATAGATGGACAGGAAGGTAAGGAAGCCATAGTTGTGAAGGATGGTTTTCTTTGGGATAGCAAAGGCTCAGTGCCTCCACTCTGGGTGCCCAGCATTCTGTGGGCCCCTCGCACCTATCAATCCATTCTCTTGCTTGTAATTCTGGAGTGCTGAGTCTCCACAATTATTTGAATGGTGTGCAATTCAGTTCTTCTTCTTAATCCAAATAATGTTAAAACAAGATTGAAAGATAAGTCAATAATTAAACAAAGATCATAGAAAACCATCCAATAAGATAAAGCCAACAGCTGCAAAAATGTAGGGATAAATATAGGAATATACGTAAATGGTAAGACCCATAAAGAGGAAAGTAATAATGGGACAGTATGGTCTATACACTATTTTTTAAATGCCTCTAATGTTCTTTTTTAAGCCTTCACTGATGCCAGGAACCTCTTTCATGAGGGTTTGTCCCACACCCTCTGCTGTGGTGGACAAGGGGCTTCTGGAGAAGGACCTCGGGTGCTCTTTGCAGAATCCAAACACTTCTGCTCATTTCAGACCTCTTGAGTTGCCCCGAGGCAAAACTGGGGGAAACAGTTATGACTTAATGTATTGGGTACCAGCAGATCATATATCAGAATTACAATTGTTCAGCTAAGCTATAAGCTTTCTGTGTCTATTTTCATTGTGTTTTATGTATGTTTGTGTATGTTGTACATAATAACGTGTATTATGCATGTTGTACATAATAAAGTGAGTCTGTAAAACAAAGCTCAAAGGAACATTAAAAAATGGATGCCATATTGTTTTGAGATACGCCACCTAAGTCAAGCCTACCTGGCTTAAACGTATTTCTTTATCTTTCAGCTGTGTTTTATGTTGGCTGTTGGGATATCTTTCAACTGTCTACTAGCCAGGTTCTGGCTCCCATACAACTTGTAGCAACATCTGGCCATTCTGCGCATGTCCAGGACACTCATGCAAATTCCTCCTCCATCTCCCCGTCCCCAGCCCCCAAGTCCTGCAGTGCAGAGAGTCAAAATGCTTGAAGGAAAAACAAGATATAAGTCTAACCAGAAATATTTGGACTTGACTCACCCCTGGGGGGTTCACACAGTTCACTCATCCTGGAAGCTGGGGCAACAAAACCCAGCTGCAGGGCACCCAGCCCCACTGCTCTGAGGCGCTACTGCAGTGTTTCTCAACCATAGCCACTTTAAGATGAGTGGACTTCAACTCCCAGAATTCCCCAGCCAGCATGGCTGGCTGGGGAATTCTGGGGGTTGTAGTCCACTCATCTTAAAGTGGCCAAGTTTGGACAACACTGCTCTACTGTACTGCCCAACAGCAACCCTATTGAAGGTACCAATGCTGGAGGTGCCACCCCATTATTCATGTGATGCCAGTCACCTAGAACCCACCGTCCGTGCCCATCATTCTGCCCAGCCCCAACTTTCAGCACCCCTGCCTGACAAATTTTAATCTTTTTTGCAAAACAGGGCAGGGCCTTCTTCGCCGTCCTCTCTGCTTGACGCTTCCCACGTCTCTCCACTTGGGTTTTCCCCTCTTCTTTTCTGCTGTTCCTGCCAGAAGCAGGAGGCGTGCCTGTCTGTCAGTGTTCGCATCCTCGTCTGGTTGCTGCTTGCGGGCGGTGGGGGGCGGGGGTATAGTCATTAAACTGATAACCGGAACACCTTTGTAGGCAATTAATTTTAAAGTTATTAGTTCAATTTAAATAGATTCACTTTTTGTCCTAGTCCTGCTTTTAGAGCGGGGTACATACATATACAAGTGTGCCCGAGGCAAACCTCTCAGATGGGCACCCCCAGTGGTGAGCTACCCCCAGGCTGCAGCTTTTGAGGATGGGGGGAGAAAGGGGGAGTGGGCCGCATGCCTGCAGGGGGTCCTGGGGCCCATGAGGGTCTCCCCTCCCTCCTCAGCCGTCCAAAGTCTCTCCCCCCTTCCTCTTCTAGTGTTACACTCAGGGACTTTCCCCTCCCTTCAGAAGAAGCCACTCATACGTGCAGCTGTCACACCCCTCCTCTCAGCAGATGCCCCCAGCTCAGCCACCCCGAAACCTTTCCTCTCAGGGGTCTTCTTCACCGCTGGGTTGAAGTGACACCTACCGGTCCATCATGAGCAGACATGGTGCCCTCATAATGTTTGATGTCCCCAAACCTGCCTGTTCAGGATTGCCCCCTAATGGTCCTACTCATCAGGTACAGGGCAAGCTAAGGAAAAGGATTGGTCTTCAACTCCCCAGCAGGCAGGAAAGCATCAATGAATCACCCCCTTTAATATTAGCGGAGGCTGGGAAGAAGGTGAGTTTTCACAGATGAAGTTGCAGATTTAGCCATCGGTCGAAACTCGCTCTCGGGTTGGCGAGAGTGTTTTGTATTTGTGAGCTCCAACATCAGCTCCTTTTGGACGCAGTTTTCTGGACTGGCCCTCTTCTAATCAGCCGATTAGGTGGCTTCCTTGGAGCACTAGTGCTAAACCAGGGCGATGGCTGGGATGATGGACATAGCGTTATTTCAGAGGAGTGCTCAATTGTATTCAAAAGCAGCCTCAACAACTTCTGACAGGTCCGGGAAAATTATATAACACGGCAATCTCTCTCTCTCCTCCATTTCACTGTGCAACCTCCCCCCCCACCGCCCACCCCCCATTACTAACACTTGCAAGCTGCTGTTTAGGCTGATCCAGATCTCTGAGCTGGAGGAGAGGGAGCATAAGTAGCCAGTAAGAGTCCAGCTGATCCCTCCCCAGAGGTCACCCGACCTCCACACCAACCAGATGGTCAGTGAAGCTCTTCAGGTTGCGCCTACAGCAACAGCCATGGCTTGTTGCTCATGGGGCAACCACCCCTTGAAGGGGAAAACAGTGCTTTAACTCCAGAACAGCTAAATATGCTTTCTTTCTTACATCTATATCTCATCATGATAAAACAACTTTATGCCACTTCAGATATGGACTCGGGATGTGGTGAAGGCAATGCAATGAGGACATAGCAGAAATAGCAGGTTGCTGGTGCATGTTTGTGCCAGGCTAGGTGCAAGTGGGGAAGAGCCGTAGCTGGGCTGAAGAAACCCAGATGACCACGAGATGGCAACAAGGAACTCAAGGTTTCTTCATCTCATGATAGTTTGGAGGTTCACGGCCAGATGTGGTAATCCTGTCTTGCTGTAATGGTATGCGGGAATGACCTCGGGAGACAGGAGGAAGAGCCGCAGCCAGGGGAACGGTTAGATAAGAGGCAGCTGGGCCCGCAGCAGGAATGGGAGTGTGAAAAGCATCTCAGGAAGGACCCTCTTGCTTCTTGGGCTGTAAAGGGGACGGGGGAGAGATGCACTTTCAGACTTGCAAGATTCTGTTAATGCAGCCTTACAATAAAGGAGAATTAGCTCAGCTCGCTGTGTTTCCTGCCTGGGCTACCTCGCAAGGCTGACATCAACCTTGCAAGTCCGAAAGTTGTTGCTGTTAGCAGCAAGTCTATCTGGGGGGACAGAAGGGAAGCAAGGCACCTGCATGTGGAGAGGCACTGCTTCGGAGCGTCTTCGGCATCACTTCGTCTGATAAAATGTGCTGAAACCTTCTGCTTTTTTAGTAAAGCAGAAACGTTTTTTGGCTTCATCAGGGGAATCCTGATCAGGCAGAGACACTTCCGTAAATCCCTTTTCCGGGTACTGAGGCAACTGCCTAAATTAAACAGGGAAGTTGGGCAGGATTTACGTCCCGTTTCCTATTCTTTCTGCTTTCCCACCGTGTCTTCCACGCTTTTCTTAACACGCACAACCAAGAAGAGTCAAGGCAGGAACGGCAGAAGTGCTGGAGAATGCCGTGCAGTTGATACCGTGAAAAGCTCTTGGCTCTCCCAGGCCTCACAAAACACCATTACTGTTCTCCCATAGCAGGCAACGCACAAACTAACAAACCCGTGTGCTGCTAGGTTGAGAAATAATTGTGTTGAGAAATAATTTAGCTTTAACCGAGTCTTCTATTTGAATTTCCAGATGAGCTAGGATTTACGCTATCTTGAAACTGAAAATAACAGGCTGTCATATATTCAGCGTTTGCCCAGAAACTCTCCATGGCCCAGAGTTGTTTTCTCCCCAAAAAGATGGCAACACCCATCCAATAGGAAGCAATAGCTGTTTTCCTGGCAGGTGCACCTGCAACTTGAGAAGATGCTCAACAGGGATTTTTCAGAGACATCAACCTCTTGTACACCACAGAGTTAGTAGAAGTTCCATAGCTGCATTTCTTTAGCTCACGTTCCAGATGTGTGCTAAAGCCAGAGGTGTAGAAGGGATCCTGATAGGTTTAAGATCCAGAAGGTTTAAGGCTGCATTGTTCCAGTGGTTTTTGTAGATGACAGCTGCTCCTGCTGCCGGCTCAAGCTTGTCATTTGCAGGGAATTGTGGATGGAGAACAAGCTCCTTGAGAAAAATTACCCCATACAGGGAGTCCTCGTTTAGCAACCACAGTTGGGACCGGCCACTCGGTCGTCAAGCGCAGTGGTTGCTAAGTGAAACTGCAACTGTGCTTACAATCTGACTTCAGCTTTCCTTTGCTTTACAGACCTGCAAAGGTCATTAATGCAAGGATTGTTCGCAAAGTTACTTTTTTGTCACTGTCGTAACTGCGAACAGTTGCTGTACGAGGCAGCTGCTAAGCGAGGACTACCTGTATAGGAAAAAGGCCTCTGCAGGATTTCTCATATTTGACCATTGGTGAACATCCTCTGCTCTTTTTTGCAGAAAATACGCCTGCAACTAAAGGATGGATCCCGGCCCTGATTGTAGCTCTTCTCTTAATTACAGTTGCTGTAGTTGTCATATATGTGCTGAAGAAGAAAGGTACAAGACATTTCTCAGCTGTGCACACCCCTTGCAAAACCTCCACGACTGAGTTCCAAGCTCCTGTTCCCTTTCCTCCTGACTCCACCCAAAAAGAGAAAAAAGATTAGCCAGAAAGTCACCACGGCATCTGTTGGCCACCGGGTGGGCATGCCCTCGCCCCCGTCCCAGGGCACTGCCTACCACGCCATTCGTCTTCAGGCAGTGGGAGGGCCCAGCCCTTTTAATCTGGGCTCTTCCCTGCACCCTCCAGGCCTCCAGGCCTCCAAGCCACCCCCCTCCAAGGCTGGGCTTTGCAAGGGAGGTCAGCCGATATACAAAGAAAGGGCAGGGCTCAGATCACGTGGCTGTGGCCACCATCTTGACTCCTCACGGCACTGTAGAGGGAAAGGAAGGCTACGGGTGAAGAGCGTCTCCCGGAAGGTCTCAGGCGTGTGGACGCCCCCAGCTTCTCTAAGGAGCAAAGGAAAGGGCTCCCGGGAGGGTCATCTCATCTACCAGCTTCACAGAGGCAACATCTGTGTCTGGGGGGTCAACCACCCCAAGAACGGCCTCTCCCTGCCCCGTCAAGAGCAATTTCTTCAGCAGCCCCTGCTCTCCTGCCCTCGTGTCGGGAGCTGCCAAGAGGTCAGGCCGTGCAGACTTCAGCTCCTGGCTTCTACAGAACCAGCTGCTCAAGCAGACGCCCAACAGCAAACTGGCAGGATTCTTCGGGCAAGCGGGAACCTCCAGCAAGGATTGGAGGCCCAAACCTTGGTTGAAACAGCTACCTTGGATGTTGCATGATTGCCCCTCGCCCCCGCCCCTGCTTTCGGTCGGCTTTACCCAAGAGCAGCCGTACGTAAAGCATTTGTACACCCCCCCGGCCCTGCTTCAAAGATAGCGGTTGTTGCTTGCCCACCCACTTCCTGCGTTTCAGCCTGCTTTCTTTTCCTTCCGCAGCTGCCGAGAGGAGAGAGCTCAATTTTGCACAAGGCTCAGGTAAGAAGTCCCCCTCCCCCCAGGGAGAGCCAACACCTACCAAATAAGACAGGAAGATTTGCTACACACACAACACACCCACACCCACAGCCCACAAAAGGGAAACCCCCCCAAATTGATCTGGGGATAAAACACCCCCAATGGGGGCAGAGGGTGGGCACAGTTGAGGAGACAAATTGCCAGCACGATACACACGTTGCTCATTTTCAGGGGCTTCCCAGGTTTAGAAGGATGGTGCGCGTTGAGGATTTTAAGAGCATGCTTGGAGGAGCATGGCGGCAACGAACCGCTAGATCGCCGTCATCGCCTCGCAAGGGGGATGGCAGCGCAACCGTTCTGTCATTTTTCCTCTGAGGGAGCTGCAAGACCAGAAGCAGTCTTAGAAAAAGAGATGATGCTTGAGACAGTCCTGTGTCATCCTCCCCACCTTGCATTTTTCAAAAAAACTGAAGAAGGACACAATTCAGAGGGACTGCGGGGAGGGGGCCAAGGAGAGGCTGGTCCTTGACCTTCTGAGGCCATGCCAATGTGTGGCTTAAACAAACATGGAGTGAAGTTCAGCTGGCCCCAGTTTCCCCCCCGCTTGCAGGAGAAGCTGCGGCCAGAGCCCCGCCGGTCCAGCTCCCGGAACCGGCAGGCCCCTCGAGGCCGGCTTGGTCTGGCCCGATGTGGGTGCAGCTCTTCCCTTTTCAACGGCTCCCGGTTCCGATTAACGAGCCCCAGCCGAGCACGCAGAACCCTTTCACTGTTGAACCGTTGATAACTGTCGTCCACGACAACGTTTTAATCACAGGTTGTTGTTGTTTTTTCTCCAAATTATTTGGCAGGTGATGCTACAGATCCCTGAATGGGACAAAGGGGCCTCCTTCATACCCCTCTTCTTCCTCCCTTCCTGTTTTCCCCAGGGCTGCTGACAAACATCTGGTGGCCCTAGGGCAAATGACGACAACGACAACAACAGTCGTACTAATAATTCCCTTTGTTCTATTGCTTTGAAGCAGAGTTTGAATCATTCTTTAGAAGTTTTATTCCCACCGAACACACAGCGCTCCCTTCCTTCCTTCCTTCCTTCCTTCCTTCCTTCCTTCCTTCCTTCCTTCCTTCCTTCCTTCCGAGCTCACGCATCTTGCTTTATACCGAGCCTGCTCTGGTGCAAGATTTGGTCGTAACGGCTCTTCCCCGCATCCAAGCTGAGAGAAGGGACCTTCTCAAAGCAGGGGGCTCTGCCATAGAAGCAGCAGAAGAGCTCAGGAGACAACGAAGAAGCTCACTGAGACCACCTCCAGGACCGTCTACCTCAGCCCACCTGCCTGGAAGCAAATGAGGAAGCCTCCCACCCGTGGCATCTTTCCGTTGAAGCAGGTTCCCTAAACGCTCTTCTCCTGCTCGCTGCACTAAGATTCAGACGTTGCGTAGCTGCAAGAAAACCCTCCTGTGACCGCTCGGCCTTTTGTCAAGGAGTTCCCACAAGTCTGATGCCAGATGAGAAGGGTCAGGCGAGGCGAGGCGTTTCGGCGGAAGCTGCTCAAGAGAGTGGGCAGGCTGATGTTCACTCCAGGGAGAACAAGGGACAATGACAACACAAAAATAGCCAACACAGTTTGAAGGAGCCAATAATGCAGTAAGATTACTGCAGATCTGATCACTTCTTTGCCACAAAATTTCCTTCTCCTGTCCTGTATTAATTGTCCTTTAATTCTTTTCATCTTCATAATTCTCTTTCTTTCTTTCTTTCTTTCTTTCTTTCTTTCTTTCTTTCTTTCTTTCTTTCTTTCTTTCTTTCAGAATATAATTAGGACAAAAAAGAAAACTGACACAGGAAGGTGACGGGGATGTATATGGGGGAGTCAACAGTGTCAAAATCAGAGGCGCAGTCTCCCCCCATGAGCCCCCCCCTCAAAACTGACAAATGTTCAGATTCTGAAATGGATAATGAACCAAGTTAGAGACTCCATATTTACTTGTAACTGGCATGATGACGATGATGATAATGATAATCTGCTTTATGTAAATTATCTCTTTTAACACATAATTGGGTTACAGGGAAGGGATGGATGGATGGATGGATAAGCAGATAGAAATGATGGATGACAGATTGATCATGGAGGTAGAGCTATAGATAACATTTGAGACCTAAAAGGTCTGACACAGGATCACAAAGAAGTGCTAAATGCTCAAAAAAGTTTGAAATAATAAGTAGATTATATATAATACTGATGTCTTTAAACACTGGCAGACTTGGCAGAGATAGCAGAAAGGACAATGTCTAGGTCCACACAACACACTAAAGCCTACCTAGTTTTATGTTGGCTTAGGTTTGTGCATGTGTGTGTCTTAGTGTGTTGTTTGGTTAGCTTATGATCTACAATCCAACATCATCTGGTTTAATTCAGTAGCCAAGGCACGTAGGTTGTCACTTGTGGTCCGCGATAGGAGGGACAGGACAGGCCGCTGCAGAAGAGAAGGTCCTCTCTTCGTTCTCTTCCCATGAGAGCTGACACAGTCCTTGGATCCTTTTCTAGAAATCTTGTGTTTATTTTCCTTTTGAGAGTTGTGCCTTGGCTAACATGAATTCAGAGGTCAGAGAGGCACCCACAACGTCTTCTCCAGAAACAAAACCCAGCATTTGGCTGGTGAAGGGGTGGCCCTTGGGAAGGTGGAAGAAAACACCCTATCTTCTGGAAAGAAGTGGAAATAAACTTGGCGCATACAGAGGCACGAAGGAAGGGAAGAGACCATTTTCCCAAGAAAATGAACTCACTGCCAAAAAGATAGGGGAAAAAAAAGAATTTCGTGCACTTTTGGTTCCAAAACATTTCTGTTTGAACAGAAAGCTATCGCTAAAATTAGAAAATGTTTACATGTGTAGATTTCAGAACATAAGACTTGTTTTCTCCGAACAAGAAATAGAAGTGGATTTAAAATAAGAATGCTGGGATCTCTTGGTTTTAACGATAGCGACAAGTTTCAGGTTTTGGAACAGTTCCTATCGGTAGAGTGCGATGTTTGCTCCTATCGTTCTTTATTTTGGATCCAAGGGATCGGACAGGATTTAAAACTCTTTGGGTTTTTTTTTTTTTGTATTTTACAAAGTGTGGGTTGTTCTTTTTCATTGTTTTAAATGGCTTCTTTTGGGGGCTTGCTTTGTTTGTTCTAACATGAAATAAAACATCTCTGTGATTCAACTTGCATGACTAACTGACTGACTCTTTGGGCCAACAATACAACTTAATGACTTTGCACGGAACCATTAATGCTTATTAATGCTCCTTCCTCCGCTTCTGTTTTTCATGTTCAGTACCATGTTTAAGCCGAGCCCTTTAATTAAATTAATTGCCTGCTTCAGTGAATATCAACACAATAATTAATGTCAGCTCTATTCACCATCATTTGGGAGCGGGAGACCTCCTCCAGGAATGGAGAAATAAAAGGACAGGCCCATCCCAAAGAAAGAGAAGAAGGATTACATTTAGACTTTAAGCCTGCTTAATTTTTCTTCTTTATCTTGCACTGGAAAAGGATTGGGAGTGCCCATACATTCACAAACATCTCTTGAGGGGGACTGTGGCCCATTTGGGTAACAGTCATAATTTTTCTTTGCAGGGACTGAAGATCGAGCTAAGAATGATTCCACCTTAATAGGAGATGGGCCCAAGGTAAGTTCATAAGAACTCAATCCAGTCCATAGAAAGTCCTCACAGTCTTCCAAAACTCCTTGGAAGTAGCCCAGGGCAACTTGCTAGTCCACTGAGGTCCAAGTCGCCTCCTTGAACTCACCCCCTAACTCTCCAGATCTCTACCTAGCCGCCATGGACCAATTTTGATTCCTGCCAGGATTCTTCTTGAAATGCCATCAGCACGTCCCCATGTCCTCCGCAAGGGGAATGAAGACCCTTGAAATGAAATCTGAAAATGCATCAGGTTTTCAAAGCTTAGCCTTCCTTAAGCCAGGTGTTCTCAACTCCCAGAATTCTCAACCAGGGGCTCGTGTGCTGAGGAGTTCTGGAAGCTGAAATCCACACTTCCAGAAGATGCCCTTTCTCAACAGAATAAAATGTGACTGCATGCTAAAGGCTGCCTAGATTTCTCCCTCTTTTGCTGACTTAAGTGGACTTCATAAGGTCTTCTCAAATGAGGATTTTGCACAAGGCTCCTTAAAGATCTCAAGAATGAAGTCTGATATATCTCAAGGCTAGAAAGGGGGCAGGGAGGAATCAGATTTGGGGCAAGGGGGATGCTATGGATAAGATGGTGTAGTTGTTCCTTGAGGTACTGCGGTTTTAACACATCTTTTTTTTTATTTTTCTTTTGTAAGTCTCTTTGAGCCTTGCTGGATTTTATGACATATAAACTATGGCAAATAAAAAGAAAAGAAAAGAAGTGATATCTGTCAGTTAATCACAGAGGAAACAGGCAGGAGGTGACATCTGAAAACAGTGTTAACTTTAGATCTTACAGCAATTAACAATAACTCTCACTAAAATTACTCATAGCTTCTTTTTAGATTTTCCAGAATGACATTCACAGCTCTGGGTACTCTGCAGCAAAGCTGCTTGACGGTGCCCCATCGAACGGTATTATCGCTGCCCAAATCATCGGTGGTCTTCCTGACAATAGGGAGGCCCGGCTTCCTTGGGGCTGACTCAGTAGCCACTAGAAAGGCTGGAGAGGCTGCGTGTCTCTTTTAAAAATAAAATAATATATCAAAATGTCTTCCTGTTCATGCAGATATCTACACCATGCCATCGCCAGAGCCAGAATAAGCAGGAGGCCCTCTCTGCCCACAGCATCTCCCCGCTTTCCACTCCACAGAGGTGAAGACCTTGCAGGTGACAATAAACACCGCGCTTTTTCTCTTTTTCTCGCATTCAGGGGGCACGGGGAAAGAAAGACAGGCCACCAAGAAAAGCACCAAAAAGCCACCAGGAGATGCCCCAAACCATCTATACAGCTGTACAGCACCCGAAGCAGGTGAGAGATTGTGCCACTGCCCACTACTCACAGCAGCCTTTTCAAACGGCAGGTCTTGGAATCCCAGCCATATGGGGCTGGTAGTTCAAAACATCCAGTCGGGCGCCAGGTTGGAGGAGGCTGTGTTGGCAAAACACACGCCCGCCCCTCGAGACCAGGAGGGATCAATTGTGATTCGGCTAAAAGATTGCAACTTGGGGGGCCTTGGAAATCTGGGTTGAAATCTTCTTTCTACTACGAATTTAAGTAGGATGATACTTGAAGAAAAGAAAGCAGAAATGTTTGCTTTCGGCTTCGAAAAAGAATTGTGCAAATTTCTGAAATAGAGCAGAATTTCCTGCAATCATGCTAAAAATAAACAATGCAAACTTCAGGTTAAAAAAAGAAAGGTGAAAGGCAGCTGTGAATATGATCACATCTTTCTTCTTGAGAGGGAGCAACATAACATTGGCTAACCTTTCTGCACAACCGCTCCGGGGAACTGGGATTTGCGCTCAAAGGTTTGAGATGCCTAGACATTTCTTGGCCAAAGACCCGGTTCCTCCCGGCCTGATTCTCGAACGGCCTCTCTTTTGCAGAGTCCTTTACAAACAGACGATGAGAAGATGGGGAAGAGACAGCACGGCCTCCACAGCCAGGAGGAGAAAACGGTTTATTCGGAG